TAGACAACCTCGTGCCTGCCATGCTGTCCTCTCATGCAAACTGGCAGGCCGTCAAAGACTTTGCCAGAGCGGTGATGAGTAAGAAAGAGTCTGACGAAAGAGACAGGGAGCGTCCAGGTGGACCAAGACCAAGGAGGGTTTAGGAGAGGATCAGACGGACGCACGCGACATCCAGGGCGGCGGACTCCGGTCGGCCCGTCGAAAGGTTGAGCACCAAGCACGAGATTACAAGGGCGACGGACTCCGGTCGGTCCGACAAGACAAGAGGAGGAAGGCGTTACAAAATAAAAATGAAAGATGTAAATGAATGATGTATAACATGTTATGTTAACGATGGGGCAAGTCGGGGTGTTGTCCCGCCTACCCCATCCGTATGTATAAATTGTTAATTTTTTATTTAGCAATAAACGATGGCGGCGCCACGGACGCAATGCGAAAGCAGTCCCCGTGGCGTCGTCGATTCAAACACAAAAAAAAAAAAAAAAAAAAAAAAAGGTTCCCAACCTAGGTGGACCCACCGTCTACTGCCCAACGTAGCCCGCTGGCTGACCAAGCCCCCGATGGACCTGACCTATCACCTCACGCAGGCATTAACCGCGCACGGATGCTTCAGAAGCTACCTCTTAAGATTCAACAGAGCAGAGGACAGCTACTGCTGTTACTGCATGCACCCGGACGACACCGCCGAGCACACCCTGTTCGACTGCCCGAGGTGGGAGGACGAGCGCTCCACCTTGGTCAGCCTGCTCCGACGGCCCCCGCGTCCCGCCGACGTCGAGGAAATCCTCTGCGGCCCCCGATCAGACGATCTACCAGATGATCCGGAGGCAAGACTCAGGATACTAGAGCAGGCAATGACCAACCGACGCGAAATCACCGGCATGATCGAGGCGATTATGGCCGCCAAAGAGGAGGACGAACGGGAGGAACAACGATGAAGGACGGATCGCAGACACACATCGCAGCCGCAACGGCGACACGTCGGAGGTGTCACCGACCACCGTTCTTCATCCCCCACCTGTGACACCACGGGCGGGACGACGATCACGGCATCGTTGGACAACCGGAGAACGAGACTTCGAGGGCGGCGGACTTCGGTCGGCCCGCCAATAGGAAAACCAGCACGAGAGCACTAGGGCGGCGGACTCCGGTCGGCCCGCCAAAAGGCGACAAAAACAGACGTCCAATTAACCGAGCGGGTGCCGAGCCGTCGACGGGGAGCACGCCCCCCGGCCATCCTAGTGGACGTCAGCAATGAGGACTTCCCCGAGCTCGCGAAGAAAATCCGCAGTGGGGCATGCCGAGACGTCATTGGTAACCGCGTAGTGGGGATGAGGCAGGCAAAGTCCGGCGGCCTCCTCATTGAGGTGCGTGGCAACCCGGAAGAAGTGTCCGCAGTGAGAGCAGAGATTGCGAGATCTGCAGGGGCCGAAATCGGTGTCAGGACACTGCAGCAGAGGGAGCTGGTAGAAATCAGGGACCTGGACCAATGGTCAGATGGACCTGAGGTCCTCGAAGCCATAACTTCGGCCACAGGATGCGACCCGAGCACGATAAGGCTAGTGAGAATGCGGAAGCGCTTCGGTGGAGCCCAACTCGCCTTAGTCTCCGCCCCCAAGGAGGTTACGCAGGTGATCGTTAGTCAAGGTCGGCTGAGGGTGGGTATGGTGAGCTGTAGTGTCAGGCACTGCGACGCCAAAGTTAGGTGTTTTAAGTGTCTGGCATACGGCCATGAGGCCAAGTCATGCCAAGGTCCAGATAGGACCGAGTGCTGCAGGCGCTGCGGCGAAACTGGCCACAAAGCGGCCAACTGTAGTGCCACGGATCAAGCGGCAAACGTTTTTGCCGAGGTGTTGCAGGCGTCCAAATCCATGCCTAGCGCAGGATCATATCGCTCGAGTGGAGCGACGGAGGACAAATGCACACCAAAATGATCAGTGTCCTACAGATAAATGTAGGAGTGTGCAGAGGGGCAGGACCTGGCCCTGGCCACTGCATCGAACATGAACATCGACGTGATTATCATGAGTGAACCGTATCGCTGTGGGATTGAGGCAGACGGATGGTTCAGTGACGCCGGTGGAAAGGCGGCCATCTTTCTATCAAATCCAAGGCTGCAAGTACGAGCCGCCGGCCCAAAAGACAACGTGGGATTTAGATGGGTCAAAGTGGAGGACGTCACTGTGTACACTTGCTATTGGTCTCCAAACACCGTCTTCACCCTATTCGTGGACTTCCTTGACAGGCTAGAGGGAAGCATAAGACAACAGGCAGGGACGGTCATAATCGCCGGTGATTTCAACGCGAAGGCACCGGTATGGGGCGACCACAATGAAGAACCTAAGGGGCGTGCACTAGTCGACATGACCGCCAGTCTGGGCTTCACTACGTGCAACATCGGCGACAAACCGACATTTACTAGAGTGTATGCAGGCGGGATATCGAGATCGCATATCGACATCACGTTTGTCAACGACAGCAGCAGCTACCAAGTGCAGGACTGGAGGGTACTGGATCTTTACAGCGCATCCCTCCACAAGTATATTGCGTTTAACATCACTGGAGCTGCCGGCCCAGAGCGCCGTCCACCGGAGGAAAGGTGGTCATGGAGGAGATACGACGACTCCAAGCTAAGGGACTTTATGAATTTGGCCAGTATTGATATCACCTGTGACGAAGCGATACCAGCCACGGAAATGCTCGACCTGTATCTTAAACAAGCGTGCGACAGTTGTATGCCTAAGGGCAGGTACACAGGAGGCAAAAAACCGGCTTTTTGGTGGTCGCAGGAGATAGAAAAACTTCGTGAGGAATGCAACAGAACGAGACGCCGTGTCAAGAGGGGACGCCTGCAGCCGGATCAGGATCAAAGGCGGGAGGAGTTTGGACGTGCTAGGAAAGAACTGAAAGTGGCCATCAGAGTCAGCAAACGGAACAGCTGGAACGACCTACTGAAACAGGTAGAAGTGGATCCATGGGGCCTACCATACAAATTGGTGACCAAAAAACTAGTTGGTAGGAGACCCATTCCCGGACTTTCCACGCCAGGAAGAGTGGAATCGATCGTCGACGCTCTATTCCCGAGGGAGGCAACCATCGCCTGGCCACCACGCATGGAAACCCATGACTTCCCAGCGGTCACCAGAACGGAAATTGTGGAGCTCAGCAGCAGGATCCCCCGAGGAAAGGCACCGGGACCTGATGGTGTACCCGACCTGATTGTAAGAAACGTCGCTAGGCACAAGCCAGAGATACTACGGGACATCTTTAATAAATGTCTAAAGGAGAGCGTTTTCCCACATCGTTGGAAGATAGCGAAGCTCGTGCTTCTAAGGAAAGGGGACAAACCTCTCGAGGAACCCTCCTCTTATAGACCAATTTGCTTGCTAAACACGGTAGGCAAATTTTTCGAAAGACTAATAAAGACCCGCATCGAAAAACAGCTCGAGGAAGCCGGTGACCTCGATGACCGTCAATACGGTTTTAGAAAGGGGCGGTCGACGGTGGACGCCATAAGACGCGTGTTGGATGTTGTAGAAGCAGCCGGCTCTGGACAGCTTTACAACAGAAAGCTGTGCGCAGTCGTGGCGTTGGACGTGGCGAATGCTTTCAATTCGGCAAGATGGCCGAGGATAGTAAAGGCAATGAGGGATAAAGGTATGCCTCCCTACCTCGTTGGTATAATCGAGAGCTACCTTAGTGACCGGACTGTGGTCCACGGAGAGAGCTCAACACCCACCACGTGCGGTGTCCCACAAGGTTCAGTGCTTGGGCCTCTCCTGTGGAATATAATGTATGACGAACTCCTGCAAGTGGACACAGGAGGCAATGAACGAGGTATGTCGTCCACGGAACTGGTGGCCTTCGCCGATGACGTGGCTGTGGTGGCAACAGGCCATACTACGTGGATACTAGAGACGGTTATCAATCAGGCATTGGATAAAGTTGCCGAGTGGATGATGGGTGCTGGACTATCTCTGTCGGTTAGGAAGACAGAGGCAGTCATGTTGACGACGAAGAGGGGATACAGTCAGCCGAGCCTCTCAATCTTAGGCAGCCGCATCGAACTGAAAGAGAGCATAAGGTATTTAGGAGTCGTGCTGCACAGGGTACTCGGGTTTAGGGCGCACGTGGAATCGGCAGCGGCCAGTGCACAAGTCACGGCGACTGCGCTATCAAGGCTTATGCCTAACATTGGAGGCCCGAGGCAGAAAAAGAGGTCCCTCCTGGCTACGGTTGTGGCAAGCAAGCTTCTGTATGCAGCGCCGATATGGGGTGCAGCGATGGCGTTTAATCGCAATGTAACGACGTTGGAAAGGCCTCAGAGGGCCATCGCGATACGGACCATAATGGCGTACAGGACGGTGTCAACGGCAGCGGTGTTGGTGATCGCAGGGATGATACCGGCCCACCTCTTAGCCTGGGAGAGGTGCGAGAGATATAAGCGGAGACACGAGCCAGACGCAGCAAGGGCAACGTCAGAGATCCGTTCAGAGACATTGAGGAAATGGCAGACAGAGTGGGCAAACGAGAGCAATGGAGGATGGACAAGGAGGTTGATCCAAGACATCAACTTGTGGAGGGGCAGGAAACATGGGTTATTGGATTTCCACATCACGCAACTGCTGTCCAATCATGGATGCTTTGGTGAATACCTCCACAGGATCGGGAAGCTGGACACGGCAGCATGTGTGGATTGTCAAGAACAAGTTGATGATGCGGAACATGTCTCCTTCGTCTGCGGCAGATGGTGGAAACAACGCAGGGCGCTGGAGGTGGAGGTGGAAGAGGACGTGTCCCCCGATAACATCGTGAGTATCATGGTGGAGAAACGGAGCAATTGGGAAGCAGTTGTCAGATTCGTCAACCTCGTCCAGTCCACAAGGGAGCACGAGGAAAGGGTGCGACAGCGACTTAGGGTAGAATGAGTGTAATTATTTTTTTGTACGCCGAAGGCGGAAGTTAGAGGAGTAGAGTCCTCTCTTTTTTGTTGAGCAAAGCTCGTAATTGTTGTTGCGTTTATTGTAATTTATTTGTAATTTCACAATAAATGATACGGATACGGGGAGAAGGACGGCCCTCACGGGTGAAGTACCTCCTCGTAGCGCCGTGGTTCAAACACAAAAAAAAAAAAAAAAAAAAAAAAAAAAAAAGGTTAGGTTAGGTTAGGTTAGTTCAGCGGTGGCTGTCGTGGCATGCAGACGTGTCCGTGCGTCGCTCCCGAGAGTTTTTGTTTTTTCTCCAGTAATACCTCACCGTTTTTTGCGCGCAACGTTCGAATCGACGCATTAGTCCGCTCTGCGTCGATTCCCACAAACCGCGTGGAAATCGGTTGAGTTTTCGCCGAGAAATCTCAATTATCGTGTCACACACGTGTACTGAGCTACTGTGCTACGCACTATTCGTTTTTTTGATAAAAAGTGCGCGTTCGGGCCGGTGTCGCTTTTGAGTCGGCCCGATTAAGACCCACCGGACCCTCCCGAAGGGCTCGGTGCATCGCGCGTCCACCCCGGACCCCTCGGTGCCGAGTAAGCACACAGGACAAGCCCCTGTGCCGCCGTGAAGATTGTGGCCGAAACACACGCGGAAAGTTCACGCGCGGTGGCCCAGAAGACGCGTCTGGTGAAGACGAAGCCGTGGCCACCTCGACCGAAGTTTTCCGACAAACAACGGGTGAGTAAACTGAGTTTTTCTTTACCCCCTATCTCTTTACACGGCCGCCCAAAGCCGCCGTGTGGAAAACGGGAATTCCGGCGAAACAGCTGATTCTCGCGTCGGGGGAAGAACTGCCCCGTGATAAGGCGACGGGGACCAGCCGACGGCGTGTGGCCTAGTGTCGGCGGCCAATTGACGGCATTATCTGTCCTTTGGCGGCAAATTTAAATTTGCCTTCAAAACAGTTTTTTGGCAATAACTCGTTAGGAATTCACTTTAGAGCTTCGGGAGTAAAATTTTGCCCCCCCGAACCCCCTGACCTCCTACGACCACACCGGATACCATCCCGCAATCCGGAACCCCCTACACCCCCCAGGAGCGGAGTTAGGGGAAAGGATAGGGACAGTGAACCGGGATAGGGACAGTGAGGCAAACGGCAATCATAGCTAGTGTAGGTTCCGATACCTTCGGATTTGGTCCCTGCACTGCTTCACCGCCCGCTGCTGAGTGGAGAAGTGGTAGAAGCAAAGGGGGCAAGGGTCGCCGGACCTCTCCCTTGCCACGGACACCATGCCGAACTCTGACATGGAATCCCCGCCCTCACAGCCAGCCACAGTGACACTTGAATACCTCGAGGGAAAAGACTCGGGGCTCTTCCGAATGCTCAAGGCTGAGGCAGAGTCTTTGAAGGAGATGGCTAAGCGCACGCAGGTTAAAGGGCTCAAGGAGAGCGTTGACCAGGTGATCAACATCATAGGGTCCATCGAGAGTAATAACGCCGAGATGAGAGTGATGAGGAGCCAGGCAGTTGGCAGTAAGGTTATGGTAGTGGACGCCAAGAAAGTGGTGACTATTCTGACCCAGAACTTAAGTGCGGTGGTTAATGAGTCTAATAAGACAGTACTAGACGCCATCTCAAGAGTTGGCACAAGGACGTCCGGAGGAAATGAGGCTGGAGAATACGACAGACCTGGCGGCACCGACAGCGCGGAAGTCAAGGCGGCAGTCGCTAATCTGCAGACGCTGCTCGAAGCGCAGAGCGCAAAGATGGATGAGATGGCAGAGCGGGGAAAGCAGACAGCCTGGACGGACGTGGTTAGGAGCAAGGGCAAGAAGGACAAAGGCGACAAAACAGACGTCCAATTAACCGAGCGGGTGCCGAGCCGTCGACGGGGAGCACGCCCCCCGGCCATCCTAGTGGACGTCAGCAATGAGGACTTCCCCGAGCTCGCGAAGAAAATCCGCAGTGGGGCATGCCGAGACGTCATTGGTAACCGCG